TGTGAGTGTCCAAATGGCTTAGTAGGTCATTAACTATTTCCTCCTGGATTAAGAGGGGTATATTCTGCGATACAACCACTCCATAATGACTTAGTTTTTAAACAAAAAAATCCAAGCAATTGCACTAAACCTAGGCAGATACATTTGCAAGTCCCATCATTATAGATTGTTGGAACTGAGGTCTCATTGTTAATTAGAAACTTTAAATATAGACTTGACTTTAATTGAAGCTTTTATTGTCATAGCCATCTACAAAATTCTGGATGTCAGCATATTCCTTTATTTGACATGTTAACAGGTTGCCAGATTCTTGTGTGTTGGATTGGGAGAGCTGTTCAGCGGAGACTTTTACAAGTTGCTTTCGCAGCAAAAATGCTAATTTTAGGGAATTGTACTTTGATATTTATGCATGGTAGAGCCACATGCTTTCTTGCTTCCTCCTGAAGTGCCTCATGGCCTGGGGCCTTACTGAAGAGTGCATTTGACACATTCAATGTGACAGCACCTTTGAGCTCAGATAATTTTCATTATTTTTTTTCTTTCTTCTTCTTGCCTTTCTTACTTGCAGCTTTCTGAAGTGCCATGGTTTTGGTTTGTTTTCTCCCAGAGGGAACTAGCAATGGGAATTTCATCCACTTTATGTTGCTCCAGTATATCCAGCCTAATTTTTACTCTCTAAAAAGCTTCAGCAGCTGACCCGTTCACTTAATTCAAATATCTGTCTTGAATTATTCTGCGAGATCAGTGAAGAAAGTTTCATGTTGAGCCCAAATTAGAACATAGAATTTATCAAGTATCTTTAAACTCCAGGCTGGCAAAAGCATGCCTTTCCAGCAAAACGCACCTTATCCAGCATCTGTACATAGATCCCATTGCATCTATGAGGATGTCCCCTGAACAGATAGGGCAGATAGTTAGCATCATAACCTCACTTCACAGTAAATGCTAGACTTTACTGTTCCAAAGAGGAGAATCTGGGTGGTGGCAGAACAGAAAGTAGAGGTGGGAGGAAGTAGGGGAATGCTCTGAATCATGGTGTGTGATGGTCAGGATATTTAAAGGAGGATGAAAAATGATGAGTATTCTTCAGATATGCAGATTTAAGACGTTAATTACATAAAAATCATATGATTGCTGGACCTCTGGCTGTAACATATAAAATAATTAGGTTCTTTCATTATTTCTTTGTAAAAGAGGGCAAATAAACTTTGTGTCGGGGTTGATAAATTTGTAAGGCTGAATTAAAGGTGATTGTTGTGAAGAGAGTGAAGCAATTGCTTTGTTTCCAAATTCAAATTAATTTCATTTGTCTCTGAGAACTTAGATTATTCTGTAGGCATATTCTGTTATAAACACTCTTATAGTATATATTATGGGAGTATTTTAAAAACCACAGCCTCAGACTTCTTGTAAGACAGAAGTTAAAATATTGATTTAAATGAAATATTTTTTTGAATCTAAGAAAAACACAAGACTTCCGTTTTGTTGATGAATATAATTTTGTCTGCATTCTAATAATATTTTAGAATTCTGACAATTGCACGTGATTTTTTTGCAGGATGCAAGGCATGCTGCAGAAGGAGAAATATACACAAAACTTAACCAAAAAATAGATGAATTTATTCAGATTGCTGATTATGATTGGACAATGTCTGAATCGGATGGAAGAGCCAGTGGATACTTAATGGACCTTATTAACTTTTTAAGAAGCACGTTTCAAGTTTTTACTCATTTACCTGTAAGTGTTCAAAATTAAGTTTAATTTCAAACTATTGGAGCATTATTTTATTTTAAAATACTAAGATTTTGAAGATAGATATGATTTTTTAATTATGCACGTGCTGGCAGATGTATTTTTAAATTTTTTTCAGTACAGATGTATTTTTAGATGTGTTTCAGTATCTTGATGATGCTTACCCATGGTAATACTTAGAAAATACTTTAGTAATATTATTAACAACAGCTAATTTACAAATAGGGTAAGAACTCAGCAGTTTTCTAGAGCAACAGATGGCCTTTTTAATTAACCATGTTGGATCTGTGTACACATGCATTGGTTCAAACAGTGCAGAATTGGTGCAAAGCCTGCATTTATGTATAAGTTTATGGAGGTCTTGGATTCTCCAAGGTTGTTTTTAGCTAAATAGTTTTGATAATAAAAAGTCATTTGATTCTAGTTAACTGAGCTTCATCGAAATGAATCCTTGTTCATATTCAAATATATTCTGTGTTATTTTGTCCTGGGTAAAAGGGTACTGTTAACCTGTTTTATGTACTAATCGTTACATTCTGTTGTCTGATTTCCCCTTGCTTTAAGACAAAAAAGACTGTTTCTAGTTTGATTTATCATTGTACTAGTTTATACCTTTATAGGTCTGGAGTAACTTCAATAAATCTTTCAAGCTACATCTGCTTTTCATCAGCTTGTCCTTGGTTGCTACTGTCACACTGATGTCTGAGTGCTTTACCCACATGCAGTGCCTATAAAGAATAAGTCCTCAATGCATAGAATGTTTTGAGGCTCCAGACTGGAAGTAAAACATAATTTCTGTACGTGCACAGCAAGGTGTTGAAGTTGCTGGCATAGTGGGCTTATCTGGTCTTCCAAATCACATGTGAAGGGGCTGTGATTCTCCAGTCGCCTTTTTTTTTGCTGACTCAAAGACATAACCCACTCAAAATGTATCACATATTATTGATGTGAATGTGACGTGTGAGACGTGCTTCTGTGCCAAATCAGTTGAGCATTTTTTGATAAAGAATAGTAAGTTTGTTAGATAATTAAATTCATTGTAACTTAACATACAAAGCAGTGTGAACCAATGCCACTGCTCCTCAGTGGTCATATGCATATAGCAGTTAAGGGATGTGCAACTTCTAGTGAAGGATGTGCAGAAGTCTGTCATGAATGTATGTTGTGATATAGCGGTTTGGAAATGAGCCACAGACAGAACAAAGTAATGTGTTAAGAGGGATGGAAAGAAGCAGCTGTGGCATTAAGATTTGAAAAGTGTGAAAGGAATAGAAATACGTGCCTGGGGGCACAAGTCAACCTTTGGAGAAAGCTAGTTCTTATGAAGAGGTTATTTGGTAATTTCAAACTCTGGTCAGTTAACAGGCAGGATGTAGAACTATATGGATGACTAGTCTGGTCTGGCAAGAGGGTTCTTGTAATTTTTGACTTGTCCTGTGTATCGCTCCCTTGTTCTAGCTTGGCCAATTGTAGAAACACAGTCCTATGAATGTTGCTGTGCATGAGCTGTGAAGGTTATGTGAAAGTGTGTATACAGCTTCATTATGATGATTCTGGTTAGATTTGCAATTGTAAGGTATTTTCATTAGGAGAAAATTTATAGTAAAAGCATTTTCAAAGATAAGCCCAGAACTAGGTTCCATAACTCATTAAAATAGTAAATGCTTTGGTGTGCTAAACTAAGCTAGATTCTCATATGCCATAGTTAAGATTTGGAATCATTTTAGTATTCATTTACATTAATGGATTATTCCATTAATGTCACAGTGTTATTTCCATAATAATTTTTGTATGGCTGGCAGAAACATTCCACTACTCAAAATAGTTTCTCAGAACCTTTTCTGTAATTAGAAATCAAGGAACAAAAGTCCTAGCCGCTGGCCGTAACTGTAGTAAGGAAAAGAGCAGGACAAGTAGAGGAATCTCTTCTCTTCCTACCTTAGCGTATCCGACTATGTTAGAGGGCACTGTGCTTAGGGCTAGGGGCACTAGTTGGCCACACTAGTTCTCCATAGTCTCGTTCAAGGGTCGCTGACTTTCTCTTTGATATTGTTTCAAACTCTAGTCTTCCTGTAGAAGTGTTATGGTATGTTCTTTAACAATTTTTTGATGCAGTCGTTGAGTTCCTGTCGTTAGTCTTGTTTTATTTTAGCTGTCTGTGTAAGTTGTGTAAATGCACAGGGATCTGTCTCCTTTTGTGCTTCCATGTGGGGCTATACTGAATTATTTCTGTACCAATGTAGTCATAACTTTTAAAAAATACATCTTACATTACGGATCTGTTTTATGCAATTTGTATTATTTTTATTGGAACATTAGAGATCTAAATCAGGTAGACCATGATCTCAGTTTTACTGAACCTGGCACAACTTAGTTGGGGTCTGATATCTCTATTGAATCATTGGAAATGTCTTCCGTCTCTGAAACTTTTTTTTTCCTCTGAAGTTTTGCATCTTAGTTTTCTCCTCTGTGTTTGTTTAGTGTACTTAATAAGCAGTTTTGGAAAAGAAAATAGCTTTATTCCACCCTGCAGTTATATTACCATTAGATTTATGTTAAAATTTATTAATGGATTGTGTTACATTTAGATTCTTACTGTCCTGAGCCATTCTAAGTCTTGCTTGAACAAAATATGTTAATGACATACAGATGGCCTCTATAAGCCAAGATGGTAAACATGGCATTTATTTTTTAACCTAAGTATTTTGGATTATATTATTTCTTATCATGAAAACTTTCTGGAAAGGCATATCAACAGACGCTTCATCATTTGAAGTTTGCTACTTTGATATTTTGGCATACAGTTCCTTATTACAGAAAAACATTTTATTGCCAAATTAGTATTATTTCAATTATAATCTCTTTGTTATGCCACAACAAAATACTATATAAGTTCACAGGTTTAAAAAAAAATAAGGAATTAATGTAGCTGTAATTGTTCTTTTTGGAAGCTTTTCCTTACCTTTTATTGCTACCAATTTTTTTTTATTTTTTTTTTTCCTTTTATTTTTTTTGATGTTGACAGTACATCTTAATTTTTTTGTTTTGATTGCCTTACTGGTTTCCTTCTCAGAATAACAACAATGACCATGCAGCTATGTCGGTAAGTAGATGCAAGATGAAGAAAAAGCATGTGAACTGAAAAACTATGAACTGCCTGCAGGCTTATTGCTTCAATTTTTAATCATTTAATAAAAAGACCCTTCTATTTTGCTGATGACTTGCTGCGTACCTTGTGTGGTTGCATGCAGGGATCAAATTAATGACTAACATTGGGCTTTCGTACGCTGAGACAGCAGGAGCCCTAAGAACCTTGCAGAACATTGGTGGGGTATGCCTTGCATCCCAAATGAGATAATTTAGAGGAGACTGAGACCTTTTGGAAGAGAGGTCAGGTATCAAAATGCAGCTATGAGACATGAATGCAGAATGAGGATAGAGTGGTATAACAGAATAAAGAATCAGTGAAAGTTCCATCATTTCTCTGCTACATCTGCCTGGGGTCAAGGCAATGTGTGTGCTCAATTTTATTTATTTTTTTTTTTAAGAAGATGATGGATTGCGTTTAAGAACTCTTCCAAGCCTTGATTATTTTCAGCTCATCAATTTTTGTATCAGGAGTTTATTTTGATTTGGCATAAGCATTTCCATGATAATGAAAGTGTTGAAAATAATATTATTCTGTTAAGAGTGGCTTCTGAATACTGAATTTCTGAACTTACTTTTACTGATTTTTTCTAATAATGTGGTTGAATCATGTTCACTTAAGCAGCGTACAGCAACAAATGTATACTGTGCTGTTCACTGTTTAAGTGAACAAAAGTGTAAGGGACTTGGAGTACATAGTGTGGGAATAACCGTGTTCATTGCTACAATCTGGAGAGCAATTGCCTGAGTAGTAGCTCTGTGGATCTGGAGAGAGGATCTAGCATTGGGCTTTCAAGTTGTTAGGAGCCTAGAGCACATGAGTTACAAATGGAGGTTTAGGGTTGTTAAAGAGAAGGCTCAGGAGAGATCTAGTGGCAGCCTACAACCGCTTGAAGAACAGATACAAAGGTGATGGAGCCAAACTCTTCCTGGTAGGACTGACAATTTCGCATGTGGGTATGATCACAGATAGAAGCTTGGGAGGTGAAGCTTTGACATTAGGGAATAAGTTTGCACGAAGAGAGTAGAGTGGTGTTGGAAGAGGTTGCCTAGAGGGGCTGTTGAATTCCCATCCTCAGTTGTTTTGAAGGCTCAGCCAGAAAAAAGGACAAAGGACCTGAACTAGTGTTGGCAATAGTCCTACTCCAAGTAGGGGGTTGGACTAGATGACATTGGTGGTTCATTCCAGTGAACATTTCTATGATTTGAATACTCAGCCTCATGTTGAACTGTCAAGCTGATAGGTGTCATGAGCACTATGAATATTGAAAATTTTGTGTAGAAATACTTCCTGTTAATGTTGAATAGGTGTCAGTGTGCTGGTTATGTCATAACCGAGCACTAGCAGAATTCCAGCAATGAGGAGCACAGATGCTGCGTTGCTTTTGGAAGGTTATAATGTGAGAGTCATGCAGTTTTGAATGGTTCTGTTTTCTAAAGTCGCAAGAATTTAGTCTTTTGAGATTAATGCTGTTTTCAGGTTCTTTTACAGCCCATTTTAAGTTCGTGTTGCAGTTTATAGTGCCATTAGATATTTCGAATCAAAATGCAAATTAAAAATTCATTATACAGCTATTAATCTCATTAAATCAATTGGATATTCAAATTTGTTATTAAGGACCTGCATTTTTTTAGTTTTTATTTTGAACAGTTAAAGAAAAATCATACTTTTTATTTTCAGATCAGTTAATATGAAATTATAGAGGGTGTACATGTAAGTATTTTTAACTGAAGTTTAGAATTAGCTGAAGTTTTGTTCTAGATACGTGCTTTGTCAGTACAAAGTTAGTATTGGACAACTCTTTGGTAAAGAATGACTATTGAAAAGTAACAGTTACAAATTACTTTCAAGTAGATATTTTTTATTATTTCAGTAGAATTTGAGGCAGAGACTGGAAGTAAAATTGATTCTTAAAAATTCCATTAGTGTGTTTTAGTATACTTGTATTTTATCAATATTTCAAAAGTTGGATTTTAGTGCTGATGTTAAGTAATACAATGCTTTAGTTATTATGACTGATAAAATCTGTATGTTTAGTTCCTTTGCATTTTCAGAAAATTTTTCATTATGCCATTTCATGTTGTTAAATTAATTCTTCAGCTTAAATTCTTAGATTTAACAGATAAGTTTTGTTATTTCCTTTTATGCTGAGGGTGGCAGTTTGTGTTATTTTATTGTTTCTGTGATTGGCAGCAAAAGCCTAATTTCACAGCTTGCAGTGAGGGTGAAGGGGTGGTGGTTTTCTGCAGCTATATTCAAAAACTGTCAATCAACAGCCTCCACGGGCTACTTAGAGAATGGGTTTTCTTACTGATTTCTCCAAATGCTGCTTCATGCTGTCTTTGATTGGCACAGCCTGGCAGGGAGGATGGATGAATCTGTCACTGGCTGGTTAATTGTGTTGCTGGTCTCAGTCTGACATCAGGTCTTTGACTCCTAAGTGGCTCAATACAAAACAAATTAGCAGATAGTAGTCATATTTCTCATTCTATATGCTTTGACTTTGTTGAATGCAGTCCATAAATCATATTGACTGACACCATAGTGAATGATGAAAGCTGCTTTTGAGACAGCTAGCATGGGTCTTAGAAAGCAGTACCACGAAGGTGCCATAGAAGGATGCATATGGCTGACCCTTTGGGAATTTCCTAGGAGCCAAATGTCTCTTTACTGCAATTGTTCTTAGGAGAAAAGCTTTTTGGGTCCTATAAAAAAGGATTTAATATGTCAGCAGATTCTCTTTACAAGCTCCTTTGAAATATAAGAAGTTTGTCTAAAGGTTTTTTCTTTTTACAAACTTGTATTTCAGCAAAATGTGAAGGCTGGGTGAAAAAACAGTTGCCTTTAACACTGTTAGCAGGTGTTTTTGCTTATAGAATAGGGTCCTTGTTTCCTAAACTTTACATTGGTTGAGTGGAAGAATAGGTTTTGTAGATAGCAGCAATTAGCATATGCACAGCGGAGATATGGGAGGCAAACTCAAGCGCATGTGAGAAGACTGCTGAATCTCTGCATGCTATTGAATATAGGTATTTAATTGCTAGATACAGTAACCATGCCACTGTCCTTTAAAAAATAATAATAATAGTAATTAAGAAAAAAAACAAACTGACAAATAATAAACATTAGGAATGTTTTAAAACTGAGATTTGTTTAATTCTGGAAAAGAAATAAGTTATTGCTATGTTCATGAATCCTTAAATTTCCTCTTCAAAATGCATTATGAAAAAATGGCAAGGAATTGATTAATTGGTGGATGGTGCAAATTTGGAGATAGATTTTTAACTAAATCTCAGTTGTCAAACACAAATTTGAATTCCACTCTTTTCTCAATATCATACATCCAACGTATTTTGAACTGGGAAGCACTGAATTTTGAAGAGGAGAACAGTAAAGTTCACATTTCTCTCAGTTAGAATTCAGCATTTTGATTGATATACATAGCTTCATTTTTTCTCCAGATTTAAGAAAATCAAGTGATTGTATTGAGTAAGCATAAACTGTGTATAGTAAACTTCTATTATTTGTTGATATGTCACATGAACAATAAGCCTGTAGTTCAAGTTACATAGTTGGAAATAATTTAAATGTTAGGATGTTTCCATTTTATGAAATTTTAAAATAAACATTAAACATACATGTATTGATACTTATTTAAAGTCCAAGTGGCTTTTACCATGTCATTTCTGTATTGTAACCATTATCTTGTGCTCCAGTACTATTGATATTTGCCAGCCTGTAACAATTAACTACAGATGCTTGTTAGAAATATAAAATTCTGTCTTTTATTTAAAATAAGAGGAGTACACATTGTTTGCATATAAAATAAATTGAATGTTGGAATTTTTCTTGACAACCTATTAATCTGGTTCAACTTTTATTACATTATAGTGGCAGCATAAATAGGACATGGAGCTGATTTGATGGAGCAGTACATTAAACAGAGATGCACTAGATGTTCCATTAAATCAAAATGACATTTCCATTAAGTATTTCAAACCTACTACACTGTAATTAAATGAACTGTGGTACACTGATTCCCCTTCTCACCTCCTTTTTTCCTTCTTTTTTCCCCTTTTTTCCTCTTTTCTTTTTTTTTCCATTCATATTGATATTGTTTTGCTTGGGGAATAGACCTGCATGTCTCCCAGTGTAATTACCATTGGATTTGGGAGACTTTTAAGCATGCCGTTCTTGCATTGTTTCTTACATTCTTCGTTGTCAGTTCATGTATTTTGGTCAAAAATGTTACTTGCTTTTCTGAGATTTTTCAATTAAGAAACTGACATCTCATTTCAGATATAAAGCTCCTAACAGTTCAAGGTGTCCTAATGCTAAAGAGTTATTAGCAAAAGCCATTTAATGTTTCACTGTGACACCTGAGGAGAGTGAATGCTTTCCATTGTATTGTCTACATTTTAATTATGTTTTAACAAAGAATGGATTTTTAAAGTACAAAATATTTAGGGCCAAATTTGCTTTCTGTTATATATATACATGAAAATTCAATGATATGAGCAAGTTGTCTTATTAAGGACAAGATCTGGCTTTTCAGATGTTGGAGCATAACTTTCCAAACTTTTTGGGACAGTGAACTGCTGTCTATCCTTATCATTTTTCATTGCTTATGTGTGTTTCTGTGAGTCAACAGTGAATTGATCAACCTGACTTTGCAGAAAACAGCTGGGGAACCATTGCTTTAGAGAAATAGGTGTCATCACTTTACTGATGGATATAAGTAAAACGATAGTGGTGTGTGCTCCAGTAGGTGTATTATGTAATTATGGTTTCTTTTGTGGAAGCATGTTAATATTTACCTTTGTTTCAATATGTATTGTAACATAGATGTCAGTTGAAAAGCATGGTTTAAGTACATTAAACTACAGAGATTCATATAATTGCATTTGAAAGTTAAGATCACTCTGCTCTAAAAGATTGCAGTACTATGAATAGAACGGTGCCATCTGATCGGATATCTGATCTTAATTGGTTTTCTTAATTCTAAGGTAGAATTTTCATATCTTTTAATTTTTCTGTACTAAATTTTTAATAATTTATCACATGTCTGATTTTGTAGTTTGTTTTTTGGTCTTATGTTTGGAAAATCATTTGTCTCAATTACATATACATTGTAAAGAGATGTTACTAACTAGACTGTGGTTGGCAAATTATTTCTATTTTGTACAGCAGAGGGCTACATTTCATTTTGTAAGTAGTTGATTACTGACAGCACTGATTTATTAAGCACCTGAAAAGATGATGGATAAGCATGAATATTTTAAATAATTTAGCAACAAGGTTTGAGATGGAATTCGAACAATTAAAGTGCCAATAATAAGTGCAAGCTGTTATGAGAAATGCCCCAAATGAAAGCAATGGGTTTGGTTTATATAAAGTTTGGGGTTTTTTTAACTGACTATTGTGAAAAACATGCAGCATGTTGATTTTCATTACATTCTTGCTTTCATTTTGGGTAAAAAAAAAATCCTCAAAGCTGTTCATATGCTTCAGCAATTTATATTGTTATTATTTTGGAAATGTCCTTGTATTCATGAAGACTGTTTGATTTCTAGAAGAAATATCCATAATTGCTTTAACATATATTTAATTTAGTTCCCTGATTGATTTAATAGAAACAAAACTAACAGGTCAAAGCAATAACACCAAGTGTGATCTTTCTCCTTCTAATCTAAGTCCTGCCTCATTAAGACTTTGAGTGTATATTAAAGTCAAATCAGATAAGCAGCTCTTTAGTGACTTATCATTTGTTTCTATCTTAAAACCTGTTGCTCTTTCTACTAGGGAAAAGTGGCCCAGACAGCTTGCATGTCAGCCTGCCAGCATCTTTCAACGTCCCTAATGCAGATGCTACTGGACAGTGAATTAAAACAAATAAGCATGGGAGCAATTCAGCAGTTTAATTTAGATGTGATACAGTGTGAATGTAAGTAGATCTTCTGGAATTCCTATCTATATCTGTCTTAACACTGCAAAAAAGTTCTGTAATGCAATCCATATAGTGATCTTTTTCCATAATTCACTAAGCTTTGTCTTTTAAACAAAAATTACTACGGTACAGCTTCTTGTAAAAGTATTTATCAATGTTATGTTGACTTTTCTGGGAAATTTTTTTATGAAATTTTTTTTTTTAGCTGAAGTATCTCATTGAAACATACATCTGTTGTCACTCCTAATGGGATCATAATTGCTATATCCAGTAAAAAGACTATAGTGTAGTACAAAATTGCCCAATACCACTACATAAATGTTGTGCTTTTATAGTTGAGGAAAAAAAGGTCAAATGTCTGCGAAATTTTAATTTTCCCTCTTGAGTTTATTTATTGTGATACAGATTTTAAATGTGCTGTTACATAGGGTTTCCTCCCTACTACGATGACGACGACTACTACTACTACGTTACTCACTGTGCAGAATAATAGTACTCCTTTAGTAAACATCAGATGTTGTTTAATTCTCACTGTTCAAAATACGGCATCAGAATTATTTTATAAAACTAGTTCAATCCAGTGCTAAAGGCAGGATTAATTTCCTCATGTTTTGCATGGAGCTCACTGCTGAGGGTGAGCTGTTAATCTGTATGAAGGAATTTACTTCCATAACATCTTTGTCTTATGAATAGGTTTTAGGTCTGGTTTTATAGTTGATGACTGAGATACAGTGAAAAGGCTCACTAGTGTTTTTTTCAATGCATATTTTTAGTTTCTTATGCTCTGTTTTTTCGAACTATCTTTCCTCTTATGTGTTTGAAGCATGGATCTCAATGATTTTGATGACAGCTATAAAATGGGGCGGTTCTGCAAGTTGTATCCTGAGGTTTATAGTTTGGACACATGAAAAAACTGATGACTACTCAATTAGCAGCCGCCTATGGGAAACTGGAAATTTGATTTCAAGCAATTTAGTTAGCATCACAAAGTGTTCTTATGGGAGTCCAGAGACAGAGTTAAGGGGCATTTTTGACATTTTAACCATATGCTTGTCTTTCCTTCTACTGCCTTACTTGTTACATTCCAGCTAAACTCTGTAACAGGTAGACCAAGCATCTTTCTGACAGTCCTTTATTATACAGCCTTAAGGCCTTTCAGTGTGTGGAATGAACTGACAGGATTATCAGGGTCCAATTGAAAAAATATTTGTGATCATGACATTAAAGTTTGTCTCGTGATTGCACAAGTTGGCCAAACAGATAATGGTTTGACTTTTTTTTTTACTTTTAGTATGCCTGATGTTGCAAATTTAATAGTGTTCTTTTCAGGTAGATGGGCAGGGATATGTGTATGTGCATTTGTGTAGTCTCCTAGATGTAAAAAAGATCCCAGTTGTAAAAACAGAAATTCCATAGTATTCGTAATACTGACACCATAATCATTCGTCTAGACAAGCTGAATTGGTGCACCTACTAAACAGTTATCTGCCTTCTGAACAAATAGTGTAACAATGAAGAAAGCTTGCCCACTACAGTATTATTCTGTTTCTCATATTTAAAATACCATCTGTGAACAACACAGTACTTCACTACTTTTATAGATTAACCAATTCACTGTTTCACTCGGGGATTTCTAGTAGTACAGGGGATAAAATGCATGCCTTGCAGGTGACTTTCACAGTATGAACAGTATGTTTACTGCAAAGTAATGAGAAGTCCCAACAAGTCCAGCTGTCGTCTGTCTCTGAGTTGTTCTCAGACCTTTTTCTTCTCAGCCTCTGCCCTGTTATGTACCATCCTAATTTCTATTACCACTCTTTCTACCATCCTTGGTTGCTGCACAGTGGAAATTTCAATCAGTGAAGAGATCTTAGTAGAGGTTATCACGTTAGATTAAATAAAAAATTCATTATTTTAAGATTGAAATATAACCTTAAGACAATGTGTTTTGTTACATGTAGCTTTTATACTGAGCATATGGCATGGATAGGACATGGGAAACTTGGGCCAAAATGAGAAAGTTTCAGAAAACTAGTAACTTAGACTGAAAAATGCATTCTTTCCACCATTGCGTAACTTTTAGCATGGGCTGTACAGATGCAAATAGAGTAAACTTTAATTCTTCCTTTCTGCAAAACTTTTAAAGCACCTTAGAAAAAAATTGGTTTTCCACAGAAGTGCTTTGAGTAGTTTAAATATAATTATGGAAGCTTGTCAGAATAGTATGTTGCAACAAATGACATCTTACAATCTGTGGAATAAGGGATCGACGCAAGATTTTGCCTAGACTTCTTTGCTGTTGTGGTTTCATTCATAAGGTCCATCACAGGCACATTCCAGGCTTCACTGTGATGCCTGTGATTTATGTTCTTGCTCATCACCCTCCCCCAGCTTTATTCTTTGACACTTTGGGATTAATGGATACGACAGTGACATTTCAATTAGTGCTTAGAGTGTGCAAATAATTCACAACTGTTGAGTAGTTTCCTACTGTATTGCATACACAGGTTTGACATTTTACTTACAGGCACAATGGAGTATACTCAGATGCATTTTGAACTAAGAAGTTACATGAGATGTAGAAAGTTATGAATATCTGAAGATATATTTTTAAAAATTCTTGGCAATATTCTAGATATTTATTCTGATCTTTAACACTACATTTTTATTCTTTATATGAACTGGAGGAGATCTAAATAAAAGCAGGAAAATGTGATTACTTGGCAGATTTTTTTCTTTTCCATTAAAAAGCAATCAACAGTCCAACCAACAACCCAAGAATCTGTTAATGAGCAGCAATCTATTAAAGTCAGTAAATGCTGAAGTTCTTAGTCCCAGCAAATAGGTAGAATGGTAAGTGGACTTCCAAGAAAAGAAGGTGGAAGGGAAGGACATGATTTTGTGGTGAAATATGGGATTTCATTATCTTGCGTTGCATTTCTGTGCAAAGTACCTAACTTTAAAAAGCAGAGCAGAAAATCTGGAAGTATCTGGTACTTTTGCTCAAGAATAGTAGTAGTGTCAGGTGGTCTTCTCTGATAATTTATTTAAAAAAAGAAAAGTTACAATCATCTTGCTCTGCTTCTAGTAAGTTTTTTGTTTTCCTTCCAAACATTCCAAAAGCTTTCAGTTTGTCCTGTTCTAATTGAAGTGTTTCTCCAATCTCTCTACGTATTTCATAACCTAGAGCAGTGTTTTACCTCTGTATTTTACACCATTCTTTCTCAGTGGTGATCTTCCACTAGGATGATTGGGGTTCTTACAACAGTGTTCAGAAAAATAGAATGTACTAGATCCCATTGAATAAAACCCGAAGAATAGTCTTGTGCTTGGACATTACATTTCAGTGCCCTGAGGAGGGAAATGGGTTGGGGAGGGAAGGCATTTGCTATTTCTTGAAGATGAAATTCAAATCTGGGTTGCTGTATCTCACTTTGAGAAGCAACGTGTACATAATAGAAAATGAGCTTTTCAGAGACACCATCCAGATCTAGATACCTTACATCAGCTTTTTGTTAAGGAATTAGAACTTGTCAGAAATTCAAGTTGCTGGAAGAGTTAAATGTAATTTTTATAATTTCTGTGTTTTAACATAGGTGAATTGTGAGACAGGATTAATTGGCAGAAGGAGGTATGGTTCAGTGGGCATCCTTCTTCACCCAGACAGGAATCTGTGCAAGGATGAAAACATTTTGGGTCCTGCGATAAATAAGCATGGGTTAGCAGAGAATTAGCGCAAAGCAGGATGCAATATACCTTCTTAACAAGCCCTACATAGGGCTTCCTGCCAGTCCCCGCTTTGTCACCCACTGTGTAGAGAGCTGCAGTATCCAAGAGCAAGAGAGATCGTGACCCAAGTGCTCTCTGTTGAGCATACATGAAGGTAATCTCCAGGTGGGCGTGCCAGAAGCTGAGGAACCCAAATCCTGTTTTTTCTTGAAAAGGCACTATATTCTCTTCTGAAGGCCCCTCACTTTACCTGCCTCCTCTCCCATCTGGGAAGTCAGGTTAACTTAACTCACTTGAGACCATCCTTCATCTGCTGGTCACATATGGCAGCATGCGAGTGAGGGGAAGCAGCGAGATCTTGCTGGTGCTGGGGGCAGGGCTGGGGGCTGCTGCCCGGCCAGCTGGCAGCTCCCTCAGCGAGTTTCCCCTCCAGGCGTGTTTGAACAGCTGGAGCATCCAACAGGGCTGCAAAGTGGCTGAGGGCTGCTGAGATAGTCACCTGATTCTCCACTCTTCCTTTAAAAATACATTTGTAGCTTTGCTGTCCTGCCTGTGAATCAGTGCGATAAGGCTGAAGTAAAGCTATCCTAATTTAGCTTTTGATCCAAAGTCTGGACTCTGATTTTAATTTCTGCCATTGAGCAGCGGAAGTACTTGTCAGGAATTAGGTACTGAATTCCCAGACCAACAGAGAGGCACAACCAGATGATGGCTAAAACTTTCAGAGAATAAAATGAAGAGACCTGTTAATAAACCTAGAAGTGCATAGAAGTTCAGTACAATTTACAGTTAAAGATGTCTTAAACTCCATTTTAGCAGACACAGCCTTTTTCATAAGATATCCATTAACGTATATATATCAATTCACATATATCCTGCATACAGAATGTAATTAAAAGATTAAAGCAATGTATTAAAAAGAAAATGGACTGAAGTCATCTTTGCAATATTTAAATTTACCATTCTCATGTATGTGTTACCTCTCAGCCTGTTTTTGTATTATTACATACTTTTTTCATTAGATCCTACCTCCTGTAAATTCCCAAACTGGCTGTTGTAGGAAGCACCTTGAGATTATACATATTGTGGGCACACATTGTGGCAAAGATCCTGTTCTATATACATAGAAAAGGTCTACACAGTATCAGCAAAGTGCAGGGAAAGAAGATGTTAACAAAAACCTTGTGAATACCAGATTCATGTAATGCATATTTTCAGCTTATTTTTCCCAAACCATTGAAGTTTCTGATTCAAACTGCTAAGCAGCCAGTTGTTTGCCCCTATATGGGACAGTTTAATGGTGACCTTTGCATTTCATTCTCATATATTATAAAATTCCTGAATGCTCTTATGCACACTAAAATAACGAACCAACCAACCAACCAGCCCTCTACCCCTCCAAATCCTCTTTAAGCCTAAAATGAATGTAGGGGGTAGATATTTTAAAAGATGTATATATGACAATGTTTCATTACTATCTGGAAAAGAACCCTTAGGACAAAGACATTAAGAATTTTAATCCTGTTCTTATAACATCTTCCTAAAACGCTGTGCAGCAGAAAATATTTAATTAGCTTTGAAAAATTGTTAACAAAACTTAAAAGCCCTGAGCTGAGGGCGGAGGGGGAACTGTCTGACTGCTACTATAAGTAGATTATCTTTTTGCCCTTTGAACTAATGAAATTGTAATAATGAAACAAATACTACTGTAGTCACCTGTCAAAAATGACCCAAATGTGAAAATAAATGCTTGTGCTCTAATGGGTGTCCCTGGTGTTGTAAATTCATTCATAATATAAAATTGTAGTTAAAGAGAACAGAGCTTATACAATAATTAAGTTTGGTACCTTTTGTGCTTCTTGTTCTATAGCTGCAATGGTAGTAGGCACTATGTAGAGAAACTAAATCATACTGCATTATTTAATGCATTAGGATAAATTCCAAACTACCTTAGCCTGATAAGCTGCAGAAAGGATGCAAATATTTGCCGTGTGGCAAGTAAAATTATCCCACTATAGGAAGGTACCTCCTGAAGTATAAAGTGCCAGTAGCTAACTGAAAAGTTTTGCGGCAGGTCACACTTTTCAGTTATGTTCACTTTTCAGTTCTGTAGCCACTCCTTTGCCATAAAGTTTCCTTCTCCCAGTGCTACCATTGTAGAGTAGCTGGAGGAGCTCAGATTCTAGTGGGGGAAGCTGGTCTCAGCGTACTGTGTATGAATGGGCAGTTATACAGGATCAGATACAGATGGGCCTTATCTTTCAAGAATAGGACAGGTTCTCCTTTCTTGTTTAGGGGATATAGAAAACACCCCTTCTGAACATCACACTTGTCCTCCTTATTAGTGTGCTGCCATAGCTGACAACCCATGTATCTCTTTTTAGCTCTTTGCTATGGGGCGTTGCTAAGAATTCCCTGCTATAGTATGGTGTTCCCATTTTAAACGCTGTGTTTGGCTGACCACAGGGGTCAGCATCATAGGCCTGTCTGTCCCTGAAGAAAGGGTGGTCCCAGTGGCCGTGAAATACCTGCAGAAAACAGCCATGGAGACACCCAACTCTTTAGCCTAGGGTTTTCAGAAGGGTGCTTTCATAGGCCTGGAGATCCTTCTGTTCTTCTGCAGGTTGGTGGTTGTACAAACTGTTTTCTCTTTGCTGCTTTTAAAGAGTTTTTTATTAAGCAAACTCTCTCTATAAAATGCTGGAGTTAGGATATGCTTTTTCTACTGTTTTTTATCTTTCTTCTTTTTTATTTGAAAAGCATCTTTATGGTAGATTGAAATTCCCTGAAAACTCCCTGGAAAGTTGGTGTTACTTATGAAGTAGGAAACCCAGACAATTTAGAATTCAGACTTGAATACAGTAATCAGTGAGCATTTGCCAACTGTTACCAATACTTGTCTGTGACATTACAGTGTTCTCTCTAGGGCGTTTGATTGGTATTTTTTATTCCTTTAGCTGATGAAGAATCAAGTCATATTCCAGTTTAATTCATTCTCCTATTACACGACTGTCCATAAAAATTTTTGCACTGCTGTAATACAAGTAATAAATGCTACCTCTACTGGTAAAGCTGCTACTCTGCTACTATAGTCATCTATTACTAAGCTATTCTTAGATATTCTGAGATGGTCTTGGTGGCTTCTTGTACCACTTAAGTAGGAATCTTTATTATTTTCATTTACAATTGCATTCCATATAATAATTTTTAGACTTGTGAATAGTCTACCTGAATTCATTAGTCTGCTTTAAGTTGAAACCATATGTTCAGAAGTAAATGATTAAGCCTGTTATTTTACCATCATGTTAGCTCAGACACCAATGTCTTTCTGGATGTTACTTTCACTTGATCCAAATTTTCTAGCTAGTCACTAAAAAAAAAAAATCTATTAAGGATTTCGTATTACTTTTAAATGTTAGTAGGAGTCCATGTGGCACAGTAGAGTTGAGCACTGGATCTGGAAATTTTTTGGATACATATGTTCTGTTTCCTCTACCACTGAATGACCTGTTTCTCAAACTTGGAAAAAAATGTTACCTATCACTGACTCAGATGATACCTCTCTAAACTATAGCAGTAATATCTACTTTGTTTTGTTAAGAGCTCTAACTGAAGAGCATAACAAAAATTCTCTTAAGCTCTTTTGAAGTAAGATGTCTAACTTGAGTGGGGATATGAGGCAGTGGGTGCTTCTGCAAGTGTCTTTGTTATTAACATGGGACTGGGATAAGAACAACAAAAAGTATATTATGTTTAAGTTTGACAATTATTGATGGTTTCCAAATTTAAACAAACAGCTGATTTTTTTTTCATTACCATAAGTGTTGCAATTTTTTTTGTATTTTGAATATAGTTTTGCCTTCCAATTTTGACAGCCTGTTTTTGGGTTCAAAACCAGCAGTTGTTCATTATTGATAAGCTGACTAAAAGGCATGAACAGGCATTTCAGCTCTGCTCTGACTGGCACGTAGAGCTTTCCACCTGTCATCCACACATTAAACTAACTCCCACCTTAGTGTTTTTCTGTTAGTGCTGTTTGGCTAGAGGTGGGTTTTTTATAGCATGGATGCTGTAACAAAAGCAGATGTTTGAAAATATGTTGACAGCCATGGAATTGGTATTATTTCTAAATTCTTCAGTAATCATTCACCTCAGGCCAAAAAAAGATGTTGGTTTCTGTGGTTGTAGCATTACTACTGGGTTAGAATTTTAAGCAAAATTCCTAATAATACTCCTAAAGGTATTGTTCTTTGGGATTATTGGAAAAATGATGGGAAAGTTGTTGGTTTGTTTGTTTTTAATCACTGTGAGTTATTAGTTTAATCTATTTCTATCAAACCAGTTTCATTTTAATGCTAGCTAGCATTTATATTGCAGAGAGCTTGATTTTCTGTTAGATTTTTAAAAATCTACATCTGTAATATTTTTAACCTTTCTTTGCAGTGTTTGCTAGTTCTGAGCCTGTGCCAGGATTCCAGGGAGACACCCTGCAGTTAGCTTTCATCGACCTCAGACAAGTAAGACACTAGTTGTTGTTTTTTATCCTACTAATTTCCCCTTTTGACCATTGCTGAAGTTATTAAATTCAAGAACCTTTCATGTTTTTGCATTCCTACGTAATTAGTTTTGAAAAGCAGTTATTTGAAGTGTTATTAGTGGCACTATTCCCTGTAATTTAGCATAAAAGTGTTCCTCCAATGTGTTGTTAGGGGGCACTGTGCTACTGGTGGTACTGTTACATGGATATGAGACTGAATTTTGGTCCCGATGATTTTGTAAAGATCCTGTGATGCCTTTTTTCAAGAGTGTACATGTTACCCTGGTGTGTGCTGGCCTGATTCCATTCTGAGCAATTGCTCCTGTCTACAAAACTACTCCCTGGAGAGCAGAATGGGGCATGGTATTATTTAGCATTTCCTTTCCTTAATTTGTTACATAGAATTCTTTTAAACTTTTAGAAAGCAGCTTTATTCCAACTGGCGGATGTTTATTCTATATCAAATTTAATTCTAAATGCCCTAATATTGGAAGCACTTTTCCACAGTTCTTGCCAAAAGGAAGGTTTTTCCAGACTAAAATCTATTTACTTTAATTTCATGTAGTTATTTCTATTCCCTGCTCTCTATAAATTCTGACACTATATCCACCCATAGCAATTCATTTTCAAAAACTTTTCATACTTGAAGTAAGCTTTTAGAAAGGATTTATTACTTCACAAAATTGCAAGTATAAGTGTCATTTAAATAGTGAAATGAATAATTAACTGCACATGGAGGGTCTTTACCTTTCTGCAGATGTTGGTGATGTCTTTCAGCACCATTATGAACCTGTCAAAGTCATCAGAAAAGAAGAGAAATGTAGAAAGAATTCCATACCAAATTATCTATGTAGTAAGAATATTTTTGCTTTTAATAATTTAGTAGGTTTTTCACAGCAAGATTATGAAAAAGCATTTCAGAAGGGAAAATTCGTGAGGCAAAAGTATTCCAGTTTCTCCTAATAGTTAGAAAGGACATAATTAAAGTGTCTTTTTAAATGAAAAAGTTCAAAGATAGAGTTGTCTGTTACATTCTTACAGTAATATAACAATGAAAAATATCTACAATGGGATAAGCATGGACTACATGAGGAGGATATAGATCGCGGCCATAAGATTTGTTCATGTGATAGTTCTACATTAGGAGTTCCAGAATTCAGTATGTAAAGATGTACTCTGCCAAACTTCAAATACCACCAGTCTTGCCTTGACTAGCAGCCTTCCTCTTTTGGAATCTTTTTTATTCTCCTTTTATTATCAATGTTAGAAGTGACTAAACATTTTCCAATTTGTACTAAGTCAGTTTAGTTGAAGGGAAAGGATGTTGAGAGATTTTGGCACCATTTCTGTCATCCACCTAAGTGGTATAAATCCTTGCAGAGCCTGTGTTTGTTTCAAGGGAAAATGTGATTTCCAGCTATGCAGGAGGGCAGGGTGTGTACATACTTGCTACAGGAAATAAATATTTTTGTATGTTTTAAACACCAACCCTCGAGCATGTCACATAAATAGGGATTATAGTGCTTGTGATAGCTCTCAGTTTATGTTAGCAACTTATGTTTAGAAATCTCTTGATGCAAGTAACACTTTGTAGAGGGTGCTCTGTATGCCACAGGAATCTGATCGATTTTAGATATTTTATAAACAGCAACAGTCTGGGCAACTCTCTTTACTGGGCTGCAACTGGAGCTTGTAGATGTAGAACAGTTCTAGTATATTTGTTTTGGTTTGTTTTTTACTATATTTTATGTGCCTCACCAAAAGGTATTGCAAGCATGCATCAAAAACGTTTACCATTTAGTAAGGATTTGCAGTCTTTTCCCTCTCTTCCTTATTTGTGATCCATTTCTATCTTAATAGGGTGGATGACAGTTCTTTTCAAGAATACTTAGAAAGGCAACAGAGCCTTTTTCAGAAAGTTCTTATAAAAGGTCAGGCTTCTGGTTTTTAGTTTGAATTTGATACTTCTTCATGAATTGCAGGATATGAAAGATAAGGAAGTAGGTCCAGTGGTCAGGTTTTACCTGCCCACCCGGACTGTGCCCTGAGGTCAAACTCCTGATATTGGCTGTTTGGTACAGAGGAGCTGATGACAGGTAGGGGCTGATACAAGGGGAAAAGCTTGAACCGTATCAAAGCTAAAAGGCAGGAGATTTGGGACTCAGTGAGAGACTGTAGCTAAAAGATGGATCAGCAGGATTGCCCTCTTCTTAAAAAGCAGCTGACCTGCAAGGGAAAAGACTTTATCGTCCTGCCAATCACATGGTTGCTAATGGAAGCCAGTTATCTCAACAACAGCTTACTCTCTCTCTGTTGTACTAGGGCAATGTGTAAGATTAATGAGGACTGGGCAGTAGAATATTGTAGCACATTTTACTAAAGAAGTAAAGTCACTTACAAGGAGCCAGCTTGGAAGACAGAGAGGGAAGAGCTACACTTGGATTATTACCATGGGTGGAGGAGCAGCTTTGAAAAGAATTGCCATAGGTATTTTCATCCTAAGAGTTCCTGATCTTCCATCTTTCCCTGGAGACAATGTATGGACAGTATGTTGTCCCTAGCAAGCCCACTTCTTTCCTTCTTCCTTCCACAGATGTAGAAGAGCAAACAGAAACAGTTGGCACGAGAAAGAGTTGCTTCTAAGAAGAGAACAGTAGTTAGTAGCAGGAAGCTCTTAGAGGCCAGGGATCATGAATGGGCAGGCACTTACCAGTGTCGCCTTTGATGAGCCACCTCTTCCTCCTTATACTATCCCCTCTTATGCTCTTGTCATACTTAACATGCTCCTTAAGGATCTTAGTAATCTGTAGAAACTCTAGTCAATAAAGATATTTGCACTATTCCCATAACCATAATATCTCAGCATCTTACAGAGGTGACTTTGTGTGGTTGGCTAATCACACATAGTGCATACTAACAGAGAATCACATGGCCATGAGCATCTAGAAACTTGCAGCTCCAGCTAGTTTAGCAGATCCGCAAGCAGCAAGCAGCTGCTAAGAAAATTGGGATGGATTCATGGTTCTGTACAGCTGCAGTAATTGTGTCATGCCTCATGCCACTTGTCTTAGCGTATGACTTGAGGTCATACCTACATGCACCTTTTCACCCCACTTACTTAAAGTCACTGAGGGACAGGCCAGCTCAGCAAGGCCATTATCAAAGTGGCATGTGCTGCTTTAAAGAGACTGGTCTCTGGCATCTTGTGAAGATGACCCAGCTCTCCTGTGACTTGCATCACTCTCTGAAGATAATCTCTTGCTACTGTCTATGTAGGGAGCCTGGGTAAGGAGTCCAGTGGCCCAAAGTGAGGCTGACTGAACTTTGGGGATTTTGCTACCAATTCAGATCCTAGCTCAATTGGAGTTAACCTTCAAAAATAAACAGGTCTTAGTTCATCCTACTTGATTTAGTCTCTGAGGAAGCTCAGCCTCCAACATGAATTAGTTTTGTCCTGGTTATGATCTGTTCTTTAGTGCCTAAAGACTAGGGTTACAGTTCTGGAATGTGAGGCAGTTTCTTGGATGTCCTGGACACTTAAATACGCGAGGAAAAGGGCTGATTCTTAGAATTTGTGCATTATTCTTTGGAGAGCCAGTGTAGTGTGTAGTGGACAGGAACGATAACCTCGTGGTAGCCTGAGAGGTCAACAGTTGCTGTCCTAGGGCAAATTTCCTGATTCTTAACCAGCTGGGTGGTAACAAATGCCTATTCTTGAAATCAGATCATTGCCTGCAGAGTTATAACCTAAGCTGCAACTGTAGCTTGACTTTTTTTCACTGTTGACTTCACAAGTTGTTTCTAATGTTTCTCTCCACCATGAGCACTGCTTAGTTTCAAACAGGCCTTCTTCCTCTACTGTCTGGTCTCAGACAAGTACTCTGCTAGCTTGATGATTGTGGAATTTCCGTATTTTGCCAGGGCTGAGGAGAACTGTTCTTTTGGCACTTAAGTACATATCCTCCATTGTTAATATCCTCCAGTTGCTGTCAGTGCTGGTCCTGCAACAGGGGCAGCCATCTCAAGTGAACATAATCATATGCTGTTGGTAACCCCAGAGTTGAGCAACCACCGTAGCAGTATCTCCACCCACATGGTAACATAGAGTTTACAGTTTGATAGTGGTGTCCCCCAGTCTGGGAGACCAAGGGCTGTGAATGACAAGTTCCATGAATTCTGCATATGTATGGGAGAAAATTCTTGAAGATTTTCAGCAATTTCTGTTAATGTTTTGCTAACATTAGAGATAAATTAGACATAAAGTCATAATGCAATCAATGTGATTAATATACAGAATAATGTACTGTGGAAACATTAGAAGATACATTTTTGTCAGACTTTTGTTTATGATCTATGTAAATAAGCATGTGGATAAGCACTTCTGTGAGCTCAAGTTACTGATAACACACCGTATGTATCCTTCTAAAATTGATACCTGATATTTAAAAGTATAATACATTTTCTTCTTTCAAAAGCATAATGGAAATTACATTGATAGTTTCTTGGGTTGCTTGTCCATTTGCTTTGTAATGCATTTTCTGGTGTACTGTTGGTGAGAAATATTGCTAATCTTCTGAACTGTAGTGTTGTATGCAACATGTAAGTTCATTTGAAGAAGAAAATTCTTAGTAGTACTTAATATAGTCCTCCTCTTTCTTCTTTGTTTCTCATTCATTACTGAGAGATGATACTGTTATTCTGATAAACTCAGAAGTAAATCATTGTAGGTAGGAACTGTGTAACAGATCACTGGGCTTCAATCCCAGCCACGGGAATGTCTGCCACTAAAGGCAGGCTGACAGCTCACTGTTTTGTTTGCAGTGTTTAATTTGAATTCATTTCCTGTGGTAGTAACTGCATTCAGCTCTGGCTTGTCCCTGATTCCCCCAACATGCAGCATGCCAAAGCTCTCACCATCTGTGTTGCCTGTGGAGAATGCTCTTGAGCCCTACAGCAGATCTCAGAGAATAAGTTGCAGCCTGTTGCCAAACCTATCCACCACGACTCTTGGAGGTCGAGGGCTCTAAAGGTGTGCTGTGGCTTCCTTCACAGGCTGCCAGCTCACACAGTGCCTAGGCTTTGAAATTAGTAGGGTACACCCACCCCTGGCCTCTACTCGAGAAACGAGTCTTGAACTGAAAAAACATCAGGATATTTGAAGAGGGAGAAATCCCTAACAGTGTGTTTAGGAGTAAGTCTTAAAAATTTCAGAGTTTAAAGATAAAAGTAATCCTCTCTTTCATAAGGCA